GTTATATTCCATAAAAGTAGGACATATTATCTGATTTTGTTTTTAATTTTAATTTTTTTTAATATTAAAAAATATGAATTTACCATATTATCCTCATTTAATTAATAATTTCAATTCTTAATGTTTGCATTAACCAAGGGTATTTTCTAGTATTTTGAATGTTTCACAATTCTCTGTCTTTTGCTTTATATATATAGATAGATAATAGATAATAAGTAGATTATCATCCACAAAAATTAGTACGTACAATAAATAGGTATATTATCATCCTCAAATAATAAATATTTAATAGACATTTTATTTTTATTAAACCACGAAATTGGTACACTATTATTTAAAAAAAAACGTAACCAAATGTTATAATAGGGATTAGGTGAGTTAAAATATTACGTAATTTGCTTGATTAGGGATTTGAAAAATATAAAATTTGGCCCATTAAGTATGATTAGGTAATTTTCATAGTTGGATCCTATTCACTGGACATTAGGCAAGAAAAGTTGTTTTTGGTAACTGATTTCAGTTTTCAACTTTCAATTTTATGTAGAACTTGGAAATGAAATTTTTTCAGGAGTTAGAATGATTGTTTGGGTAAATTTTGGATCTAGAGGGATCGAGGCTTGGACTGGATTTTCAATTGAATGCAACAATCAAGTGGCTGAGTCCAAGTCGGCAGGTCTCAAATACCGAGTTTGGGTAACTGAAGTGCAGTGCATGTGTGATGATGATGACAAAAAAAAAAAAAAAAAAAAAAAAAAAAAAATTGAAAAAAAACTATACACAGTTGCTTTAAAAAAAGGATGATTTTGAAAATTGAAAACAAAATCTATTACCAAACGTGTTTTCAGTTTTTAATTTTTATAAAAAGTAAAAGTGAAAAGCAGCCATTATTGGGAGAGCTTGCCCCCCAAATGGGGTCCAACCCGGCTCGAGGGATTAGTCCTCACCTACGTGCGGGGATACCCTGGATTCATCCCAAAAAAAAAGTTAAAGTGAAAAGTGAAAAATAAAAATGAAATGATTATGAAAGAACCTTAATTTCAATTTTCTATTAAAAGAATCGTCCAGTGTAATCATCAGGCCATACCACCATACATAAATATGGATTATGGAGTAGCAGCCAAGGGAAAAGAACACATGGGCGGTTGTTAGTATAGTGAAAAAGATAACGCGCAAAGGAATAACATTTAAAAAAGGGAACAAAGCCAAGACAATGAAATTTTTTATTTTTTGTTGTCGGCGAATACTTTTTAATTAATTTTCATAATACCGATGATACACAATATTAGAGTATTGCTATTTCCATTCACATGTCATATTTTCTTATTCGCCTTAATTTTGAAATTTTAAAGACAAATTCACTCCTTTGTAAAATGACTTCTAAAAACTTTTGGGAAAAAAAATTGGCAACCAAAACTGCCACAATTTTATGCTTCTCTAGTCCATATAACCAAATTGAAGCATATTATTCATCTATATTCTATATACAGAGAGAACTCACTTCATAAATCGAAGGAAAAAAAATATAAGAACCATGATAAAGGATGGTTTTTGAGGCATTTACAGATCCAATGTAATAAATAAGCTTTAAACCAAAAAATCATTTCTCGAACAAACATAATAGAATAATACAAAATGAAATAGAAAAATATTTCATTGATAAATTCAGATATGGATACTGAACAGGATTCAAATCTACAACATGGTGGCCAAGAATCCATCTTTTTGCTTCAAATCAAACAACCCCAGTTCCATGAAATGAATGATAACCCCAAAAAAATTCAAATTTGGGCAACTCAAATCTCTTAAAATGAGTACAATGAAGTTGGCCAAATCTGTACAAAGAGAAAGCAACTAAGACATAGAAATATATAGGGGGTGTATTCAATTGAGATTTTAATAGATTATAATTACATGATTTTAATGTAATAGATTTCAGCATGATTTGCAATTACATGATTTTTCTTATGATTTTAATAGATTGTAATTACAAGATTTTCCTTATGATTTTAATTCATGTAGGACTTTCTTGTATTCTCCAAAGTAGATTTCACCGAAGTGTGGATTGGATTCGGGTTAGCCATCTTTCATCCATTAGTTAAAGGATGTCAAGCCTTTAAAGAAGCAGAAAGCTGAAATTACACCGATCTTAGCTCAAGTTATCATTACTATTTGTCATGTATGGCTTTCTTCAAATCATCCTGTTTTAAAGCTAAATCCATAATGGTCCCAAACTTCAAACATAACTATCATTAAACTAAACTTTAGGAATGGGGCCAGTGCAAAGCGGAAGACCATACAACTATTAAGTTTTGGATAGAGAACTTGATATGGAACTGAGAATTGACATAGGAAACAAGCTACAAAAAGGAAAAATCTTGAATTAATTGAATTTATAAATATTACAACAGACAAGTTAATTGAATCAATTCAAATAAGAAATTGGACAACTGAAAACAAGTCAAAATGGTCCATCTATGACATGATACTAGTATAGAACAACTTGTCACTCAAATTAATTCCACAAATTGACTAAAGAAAGACCAATAAATTAAAGGAAATAAATGAGCTGAAAATCTATTGAGAAAAATGCAGCATATTGCATAATATGAACAACTATTGAAAGCAATGTATCAGAAATTATTGTTTAGATATTTGAAGGTAAGCCATTTGAGTGTCCTTTTTTATCAGGCAAGAAGAGTATCCATAAGATGAAAGCGAACGAATAGTATAGACATCAAGGCAAAAGAAAGGCGAGAAACACCTCTTGTAACCAAATAGCCAGGAGAAAAAGAAAACAAGATAGACTAGAGAAAGCAAAGAAAACAAAGATAGCTATCTGAGTCTATCCACTAAATACAGAAGGATCGAGTCTGGTTAAACCAAGCTCTTGTAAATACATGAGTACCTTGTTTATCTTCATTTGTTCATCTTCCCCAAAAACAAAAAACGTGAGAATCAAGCATAGGAGGGTGGGATTTTTTTTAATGGGGTTTGGTATTTATATCACGCACTCAAAAGTCTCACATAATACACCATTTAACAATATACCTCAAAATCAGTAAGTTTTTAAATACCACTGTACTTTTTCTTGTCTTTTAAAAGTCCTAATTGAATACCACAAGACTTGGATTGATTATTTAAAAATCTTAATTGAATACCACTAGATTTTTACTGATTACTTAAAAATCCTAATTGAATACCACTGGACTTTTAAGCTTCAAAACAATATATTAAAATCTCAATTGAATAATTTCCAAAAAGGCCAAAACACAAAGGAATAATTAGCAAAGAGAATTTACTTGAATTAATAATTAAAATGGTATTTTAGAAATAACGGTGGGTGGAAAGATAGAATTGTATTTTTTTCAAATTTATATGGTGGGTAGGAAGATAAGGTGCGTGAGTAAATAGGACAAGAGGGTGAAAATAGCAACACTCCAATATTATAATGGGCTAGTAGGTAGGTACCATATATAATAATTATAAGTTATTACATTGACACCTTTAAAGCTTTTGGTATTTTCACAAAACTCCTTAATTTTTCCTTTGAAAATTGCTGATGTTATAAAAATCCCATCTTAAAATGAAAATGAATGCTCCTCAGGGATGTATGTGTAATCTAATATTTGAAGTTAATTGTCATTCTCATTTGGGGGAATTTTTTTTATAACATTATCAAATCCTTGGAATGCTAGTGAATGGTCAGGCTTGAATTAGAGACACCTTGAGCCGTGTTGGTTTTACTCCCTGTAACTAGGGGCGTACATCGGTTTGAAATCAATACAATTTAGTCCATTCGCATATGATATGATATAAATTGGATTGTGATTTTTTCAATCCGATTTAATCATATTAGATGTTTAAATTCAATCTGATCCAATCCAATTGATATTGGATTGGTATCAATTTCGATAATGAAAAAAGACAATAATGAAAAATTAAACATTTATCCTTAGATTTAATCTAATCAAACATATTAATACACGTAAATGTAAAATATAAATGAAATACTATTTTGAGTATATAATATATTAAACATAACTTCATTAAATGGCTTAAAATATTCATAATTATTTCAACCACAAATACCTACAAGAGCAAAATAAGCATAAAACTAACCAGATTAGATTGGTTTTGATTGGATTCTCATAAGCAAATCCGTCATCCAATCCAATTATGTTAGTTTTAAAAATTACAGATCCAATCCAATCCGTCAAATCATCGAAACCAATTGAAATTGAATTGGATTGGATCGATCAGTTGGACGGATTGGATTAGATCTTGTACACCCCTACATGTAGCTTTGGTTTGCTTAAATTTTATTTACATAAAAAAAAAAAAAAAAAAAAAAAAAAAAAAAAAAAAAAAAAAAAAAGGAATATCTTCTTCAGATTTTGAGTTAACATTCCTGGATACTTATTTTTGCTTTTTGGGTTTATGTGGGTTTTGATTTTGAAGGGATTTGAGTCTATTTGAATGAATTTTTTGCTATTTTTTAAAAAATTATTAAAATTGACATTATGAAAATAAAAAATAAATTTTAGTCGTTTTTAATAAAAAGGTAATATAGTGAATTTTGTGAAAGCAATTTGAAATGTCATGAGGTGCTCATTGATTTTGTGAAAATATAAAAAACAACATGCAGATAACATAAAAAGTAACCTATAAAAAAGAACATAAAAAGTAAATAAAAAAAAGTGATCGATGAAGTCCAAAAGCGCTAGCTTCTAGACTCTCTCTCTCTCTCTCTCTTTCTATATGCACAAGTTGAACCAAGGCTTAGCTACAGCAGCGTGGTATTCCCTGGATCTCTCTCTCTCTCTCTCTCTCTCTCTCTCTCTCTATATGTACAAGTTGAACCAAGGCTTAGCTACAGCAGCGTGGTATTCCCTGGATCACTACAGCCTTTTCTTTTCTATCAAATATCTCTCTTCAATCACTTAATCCTGTTCAGCTGTTTATAAGCTCATTAAAACTAGCAGCAGAAGATTAAGTGAATAATGGCCACAAGTAGGAGACTAATTATTTTGAGCGTATTGGTATGCTTATTGTTGGTTGAAGCATCGGAGGGTTCTAAGGCTAGGCACTACAAATGGGATGTGGAGTACCTCTTCTGGTCCCCGGATTGTGTCGAAAACGTCGTGATGGGGATCAACGGGCAGTTTCCGGGGCCAACCATCCGAGCCAAGGCTGGAGATATGGTGGTTGTTGAGCTCACTAACAAGCTCCACACTGAGGGAGTTGTTATTCACTGGCATGGCATCAGACAGGTACAACCTCCTCCTCTTTTTTCTTTTATTTTTAGACCAACTCGCTAAGACAGTGTCTTCGTCTCTTGCACCCGAGTTAGATCCCGCTCCTCGTACATTAGAGTAGTTTAGAATATCAATTTGTCAAAAAATCGAAATATAAAATATTTATATGTTGTTCAATGTTTTTTCAGTTTGGAACTCCTTGGGCGGATGGAACTGCATCCATCTCACAATGTGCCATCAACCCTGGAGAGACCTTTATTTACAGGTTCAAAGTTGACAAGGTAATACTTTTTTTCTTCTTTGCTCTTTGTTTATATGATTTATGAGAACAGTAATTAAATAAATAATTGATTAATATATTAACGTTGAGATGTTAATTAATTTAAGTAATGAGTATATGGTGCAGGCGGGCACATACTTTTACCATGGGCACTTTGGAATGCAAAGATCAGCAGGATTGTACGGATCTCTGATAGTGGACGTGGAAGATGGGAAGAAAGAGCCATTCCACTACGACGGTGAGTTCGACCTCTTGTTGAGCGACTGGTGGCACCAAAGTGTTCACCACCAAGAAGTTGGCCTCTCTTCCAAACCTTTTCGCTGGATCGGTGAACCTCAGGTAATAATATATTTTAGGCTTAATTGCTCTCATGTTCTCGGAAACTTTACGGTAGGAGTAAAGTAAGACATAAAACACTGATTATGAGGGTTTGGTGATAAAGTACGACACACAACATCGATTAAGAGGGTTCGGTGAGTCACTTTGACTTTAGAGACCATAAACCATAGTTTCGGGGGGGTTAACAGAACAATTATTCATCAATAATATTATTTCTTAATTTTTTTAATTTTTAATTACCAAAATTAGTTCCATTTTCCCCCCCTTTTCATACAATAATGCTACAATAGACATGTATCTATCTATTATTAGTAATTCCTACCCATTTTGTCCTGCATGGGTTTTACATCAGTTTCCATTTCCAATTTCCCATCTATATTCACTGCCACCGTCTTTCCATATAATAAACTAATAAGATAATTGGCCTCATGTACCCAATTTCAAAATAATCCTTGTAATCTTCTTCACTTTCTTTAATTTTTTTCCTCAATTTCTTTGTTTTTTTTCTTTTCACATTTTTATTTCAAAATTATGCTTTTCACAAAAGGCAAAACAATTGTGGGCCAATTCCATCATCCCCGATCCAATACAGCCAAACTTTTAAATAAAGAACCAATGCGTTTTAATTTTTTTCTATTCTCTCTCTTTCATATTTTCTTTATTCGTTAGGTGGAATATTTTATTGAATTGTCTTAAAATTGTCTCTTACGCAAATCGAACCCAAATACATTTAAGGGGGAGGAGGAGAGTTTGGCCCACTTTTACACTATAGTGCCACCCCATGTGCCTTAATTTTTTTCTATTCTCTAAAAACTTTTTTTTTCCTTCAATTTTTCCATATTTTGGTCCCAATTTAATACCTTTTATCAAATAAGATATCATTTTTAAACATCAGTTCATTCATTCATGTTCAAACTTGTGACTAAAATATTCTGTTTTAGGGTTTTGTAAACCTTCTTCGAAGTACTTTCAAGATTTGTTTTGGTTTTATTGTGCACATGCAATGGCGGAGCCATTTCTAGGCTTGGCTCCCCGTAGATTTTTCTCTTTCCTCTATTATATTATATATAACATATAAAATTTGTAATAAACAACTTATAATTAAAACAAATTAGACATAACTAAATTAGAAATTTTAGCTCTAAACATATATAATTCTAACTCCGACCTTGTGCACATGAGTTGTCTTCATTTCATATGATTAATAACCAATTGTGGACAAATCATCTAACATAAAAATAAGTGTACGTTTTCCATTTTTTCCCTATTATTGACAGGATATTACACAGCCAATAAATAATAGTCCTTCAAAAAGTAACATGTAAATAATAAATTAGCAGAAGTGATGGTGGATGTATGATCTGTACAGTCACCATCACTCATATAATTATAGAATTTGCCATGTGTTAGGTTAGATGGCTGATCATTGTCTCAAGTTTAAATTAAATATATATTTTTTAAAAAAATATTATTATTATTATTTAAAAAAACAAAAGTAATTTTTTTCTCTTTTGTTTTGTCCATCACTTTCAAATGCGACATGTTTCACTGCATCGTTGACAGACACTGCTCATCAACGGGAGGGGACAGTACAACTGCTCTCTGGCAGCGCACTATAGCAATTCCAGTTCAAGCCAGTGCAGGCTAAGAGGAAGCGAACAATGCGCACCCCCTATTCTCCATGTGCTTCCAAACAAGATCTATCGGCTCAGAATCGCCAGCACCACTGCCCTTGCTTCACTCAACTTGGCCATTGGGGTAAGTAAAGTAAAATCTTATGTCACACTATTTTTGCACACATCATTTTTAAGTTTCTTCAGTTCTTGGGCTAAAGTTGGAAGATATATACTTAGATTCCCTTTGCTATGCTATATATTATTATCCACGAATTTTTTTTTTTGAACAAAAAAGAAAAAAGTTTATAATTACAACGAAGATCCACGTTGGATCTCACAACCAAGCATGTCGAATTTAGTACAATAACTAACACCGACATGTACAAGTGTTACCACAAGAATGTCAACACCGACATGTACAAGTGTTACCATAAGAATGTCGATTCTTACCCGCAATTGGGTTTCTACAAAATATCTCATTTTCTTCTTTATTTAAAAAAAGAAAAAAAGAAAATTGAAATGTTATCAATGGGTCACAATATTGGGTGGATCTATCATGATACCAACTCGATAGTAAAGTTGACAAGTCGCGGAAAAGAGAGAGATTGGTGAGACCAAAATGCTTTAGAAGGAATTATTATGATTCTCTTGTTACATTATTTTTCCCTAGAAGCTTCCCTGCACTATGCATGGTTCATGGAAAAAGTGAATGCAAAAAGGAATTTGATTGGGTGGGCATATGGTGGCGACAAGTTTATGATAATATTTGACGCAAAATGTACCTAAGAGGAATAGTGTTATTTGATGACAGCTCAATAAATCAGTGAGTGGCTTCCACGTATTCCTCTTAAAGCGACAACTTCATGTTCGACTCCCTTGCCTTTTTCACAGAGAAATTATTACGTAGTACTAAAACAAAGTTACGTGTCGCTCGTGCATGTGTTACGAGATTAATAGACGACATAATTAAGAGTTCTCACGTTGAGAAATTATATCACACGACTATACTTGGGTATACCATACTATAAGTCTATATGTAATCATGCGCTTAATCAAGTACTTAGTTGATCAAATGGCTGAGTTTTGGGAGTGATCTATTTATATATATGGTCATGGAAAAATATAGAAACAAACTGACCTCATATAACTTAGTACCATAAAGCTGGGGCATATGGGTCATATCATAAAGCAATAGTTGTGGACCGTGGTACAGGTATTGTTATTTTTTTATTTTAAGTAAGAAGAAAACAAGTAGCACGGCGCATGGGTCATATCATAAAGCTTGCTTCTTCTTGTTTTTTGGTCTGATTAAAGCTGTTTTCTGAGTAGCTCTGTGTCTGTGGTGTGATATTGGACCCATGATCAGGGCACGTGATTCTTTATTTTTTTTATTTTTTTGTTTGTTTCTGATGGCGTGGCTGGTTGCTTATCATGAATTTTAGCACGTGATATCTCTGCTAAGGGTATCTGCTATATTTTACTCGCAGAAGGAAGCAGCATATCTAGTTGTACATGCTCTATAAACTTCCAAGTTATGAAATCCAAGGCACTCTAAAATCGCTATGAAAATCACATGCAAACAAACACATACATTCTTTTTTTCTTTTTCTTTTTGTTGTCAGAACACATACACACATATCCACATGAACAATAGTTTATGTAGTTTGACTAAATTTTCATTTTGGTCCATAAGTTTGGATTCAGAAGATTGATTTCGGTAATTTGATATCCATCGCAATTTAAGAATATATCCAAATTTCATGAATGAGTAAGCTTATGTCCTTTACGTGGAGGGATATTTTGGATGGAAGTTTCGATGCGTCATTAAATTACGATGAATATCAAACTACATGAGATAGATCTAACAGAGAAAATATTTTTATTGGGATAAATTCTTATTAGGTGAATGTTTTGTTAATTAATAATGTTCGATTTACATTTGTTTATAATCATCGATTTTTATTTTGTAACATCAACAAATATGATCAATGTACTATATACAAGCTATAAGAGAGTAATATAATGTTGTTATCTTTTATGTGTCATGTAGAATCACAAAATGGTGGTGGTGGAAGCCGATGGAAACTATGTGCAGCCATTTGCTGTGGATGACTTGGACATCTACTCAGGCGAGAGCTACTCAGTGCTCATAACCACCAACCAAGACCCTTCCAACAACTACTGGCTCTCAGTTGGAGTGAGAGGAAGAGAACCCAAAACTCAACAAGGCCTCACAATCCTAAACTACCACCCAAATTCAGCATCAAAGCTTCCAGCTTCTTCCCCTCCTGTCACTCCTCTGTGGAACGATTACAACCACAGCAAGTCCTTCACCAACAAGATCTTCGCCTCAATGGGGTCCCCGAAGCCCCCGAGAAACTATGACCGTCGGATCACCCTCCTCAACACCCAGAACAAGCTCAACGGCTACACCAAGTGGGCTATCAACAATGTGTCCCTAACCCTACCACCCACCCCTTACTTGGGGTCCATTAAGAATGGGTTGAGAAATGCATTTAACCAGGAAAACCCACCAGAGAGCTTCTCTAATGATTATGATGTGATGAAGCCGCCTGTAAACCCTAACACAACAACTGGAAATGGGGTTTACATGCTTGGCATGAACACAACGGTCGATGTCATACTTCAAAATGCCAATGCCCTAAGCGCCAATGTGAGTGAAATTCACCCATGGCACTTGCATGGGCATGACTTTTGGGTTTTAGGGTATGGAGAAGGCAAGTTTTCGACGGAAGACGAGAAGAAACTCAACCTGAAAAACCCACCATTGAGGAACACAGCAGTGATCTTTCCTTACGGGTGGACGGCTCTTAGGTTTGTGGCTGATAATCCAGGAGCATGGGCCTTCCATTGTCACATTGAGCCTCATTTGCATATGGGCATGGGAGTGGTCTTTGCCGAAGGCATCCAGCATCTCAACAGAATACCTCTTGAGGCTCTGGCTTGTGGTTTGACTGGGAAAATGCTCATGACGACAAACAACCACAATTGAGATTAACTAGTGTAATTATAGTTAAGCAGCCGTGCAATTCTAGCATTATTGTTACTGCTACTTGTTTAATGTTTATGTACTATTAATTTAATAATTTTAACAAGTAATGTAAGTCGAGTAAGTTATTTTAGATTAATTTGTGGAAATATTGTGTTTGCATATGAAGTATTTGCAATCAGCTTTTGATAAATAAATGGTTTATCGGCGTTTTGTTATTTGACAACGTCTAAGTAATACAAAGCATGTTCAATAAATTATATGAATAAAGGCAACATCCGAGGATCCAACTATAATATGTTGTAAAATGAACGGTATACGCGGAAATATTGAGTTGCACGTAAAGTAAATGAGATACAATATTTATCGAGATTTGGCCATGCCTACGTCTTTAGGGAGCAGCAACAATAACTTTTTCACACTACTACATTTTTCACTTTGCGTGACGAAGAGAATTTTGTCGTGCAAATACATTGTAGTCGTACAAATTTCAGCGCGACAAAAACTTCGTCGCAAAGAATCCGCCGCGCAAAGATCATGAAGAAAGACTTTGCGTGACCAAGTTTTTTCATTAGTCGCGCAAAGTGATTTTGAGCGACGAAAAATATTGGTCGCGCAAAGTTTTGCGCGATGAAAAACATTGGAAGCACAAAGTCTTAAAAAAAAAATTCCCGCGTCCTATTTTTGGTACCCGCCCAAATTTTTAGAGTTTTGCACGACGAATACTAATGACGCGCAAATATTTGCGCGAAGTGACGAAATATTTTTTGTGTTTTAAATTTTTTTTGACTTTTTGTTTTATTATTTCTTTAATATTAATATTTTTGAATTTTTACTTTTAGATTTAATTTAATTGTATGATTTTTTTAATTACTTTAATTTAAATTGACATATTCAAAATAAAATTACATATGAAAAATAGTGATCAAATTATCCAATAAATATATACATATAATATTCAAAATGTACACATAAATTAACAAAGGACAATAATAAAATCCTAATACAAGAGTATTGTGGTAGTAGTGGTGGAGGATATGTTTTGATAGCTTCATAATCCTCAACTTTAGCCGTCAAAGTCTCGATGATTCCCTACAAAAAAACAAATATGGTCAAATAACAACAACAAAAAAAGGCATAATTTCCCCTAAAATTGTTATACCACAAATCCAACCCAAACTCCAATCCCTCCCCTTTACTCAACCCCAAATCCCATACAAACTCAAAACTAACTCCAAAAACACATATGAATGAAAAAAATTTAAAATTTGGAGAGAATATACATTTTGGCAAGATTGAGAGTGAGTGAGAATGAGAGGGAGAAGTGACTGTGAGAGAATTAGAGAAGATAGTGATAGAGAGATGAGAGAGTGAGTGAGAGTGAGAGATAGTGAAGATAGAGATGAGAGATTAAGTGAGAGGAGTGAGTGTGAGAGAAAGGGTGGGATTTGGGGAGAGGGAAAGAGAGAGAAGAGGTAAGAGTAGAGAAAGACATTGAGAAAATGGTGGAGGAGTTATTTTGGTTTTAAAAACCGTATCACTTTGCGCGACGAAAAGTATTGTTGGTCGCTCAAAGTTTTGCGCGATGAAAAATATTGGAATATTGGTCACGCAAAGTCTAAAAAAAATTATAAAAAATAAAAATAAAAAATCTCGCGTCCAATTTTTGGTACCTGCCCAAATTTTTAAATTTTTGCGCGACGAAAAATACATATTGGCTGCACAAAGTCTAAAAAAATTATATTAAAAAATTCCCGCATCCCATTTTTGGTACCCGCCCAAATTTTTGTGCGACGAAAAATATATATTGGTCGCGCAAAGTTTTGAGTGACCAAAAATATTGGTCGCACAAAGTCTAAATTTCAAAAATAAAAAATAAAAAATCCCGCATCCCATTTTTGGTACCCGCCCAAATTTTTAGAGTTTTGCGCGACGAACTGTTGGTTGCTCAAACTTTTGAGAGACGAAAAATTGGTTCGTAGCACAATATATATAAAAATAATTGTTATGAATAATAAAAAATAAAATAATTTTATTTTACGATTTAAAATTTAAATAAGGTTAAAGCTACTTAATAAATATATATACTATTCAATTTCTTAAGTGTTATACGTACAAAATAAATAAATTTAAAGGTACTTAATAAATAAATATATTATATATATACACACACACACACACCATTCAACAATCCAACCGTCAAACTTGTTTGTATATACTTCAAGATCGTATACCCCAAAAATTGCAAAAAACAAACATTCAGAGATCTAGTAACGGGACAAAACTTTTTTATAGTTATAAATGAAAAATCACGATTTAACGGTTATTTTAACTCCGATTTTGATCAATTTTTTTATAGCTACACTCCTTGACCCAATATGAATACAATGACTGAATTTGATCTTCAATTTAAAATATTTACACTAGTGGATACCACAAAATCTTATGTTATATTTAACGAAAGTATAAATAAACTCTTAATTGTTAGTGAAAATATTGTTTTGATGGCATACGCATTCTACGAAACTAGTTTCAACGATCTAACCGTCAAACTTTTTTGTTTATACTTCGAGATCATATATGCCAAAAACCGAAAAAAAAAAAATATTCAGAGATCAAGTAAAGGGACAAAACTTTTCGACGGTTATAAATGAAAAATCATGATTTAACGGTTATTTTAACTCCGATTTTGATGATTTTTTACAGTTACACTTTTGACCCTATATGAATACAATGACTGAATTTGATCTTCAATTTAAAATATTTACACTAGTGTATACCACAAAATCTTATGTTATATTTAACGAAAGTATAAATAAACTCTTAATTGTTAGTGAATATATTGTTTTGATGGCATACGCATTCTACAAAACTAGTTTCAATGATCTAACCATCAAACTTGTTTGTTTATACTTCAAGATCATATACGCCAAAAATCAGAAAAAATAAACATTTAGAGATCAAGTAATGAGACAAAACTCTTCGACCGTTATAAATGAAAAATCACGATTTAAGGTTATTTGAACTCCGATTTTGATGATTTTTTTATAGCTACACTCCTTGACTCTATACGAATACAATGAACTAATTCGATCGTCAATTTAAAATATATATTTTCTAACAAAAACCTAATCCGAACAACAATATTTTTCTAACAAAAATCTGATCTGATCTAAAATAATAAATTTAAAAGCTACTTAATAAATATATATACCGTTTAATTTCTTAAGAGTTATGCATACAAAATAAAAAAACAAAAATAAATTGGTTTAGGCGACGAAATGTTTGGATTATGTCATGCAAAGATTTTAAAAATAAATTTTTTATTTTATTTATTTTTATAAGGACTTTGCGTGACGAAGATTATTGTTTCGTCGCACAAAGTCACTTTGAGCAACGATGTATTGTCGTCGCGCAAAAGTTGTCTCGCAAAGTCACTTTGCGTGACGAATTGTTTTTCGTTGCGCAAAATTTGGTCGCGCAAGACTTTGAGCGACGATGTATTGTCATCGCTCAAAAGTTTGTCGCGCGAAGTGACTTGGAATGACAAATTGTTTTTTGTTGCGCAAAATTTGGTTGCGCAAGGGTTTTTGTTTTTTACTAGTGTCACTATATAAAATAATAGGGCTATAACTTTGGTGTTTACAATCTCTTTGGCTCACTATAATTTTTCTCTTGGAGAATTTCTCTCTTCTCACTTTTCTTTCTTTCTTCCTTCCTTTCTGCCTGGACTCTGATTTTCTTATCTGATGGTGTGTCTTATTACAATGAAGGGAGGAAGTCCATTTATAGGGAAAGCCTCTTGGCTTCCTGTGGATGTGCAATTATCTCTTCCAATATGTGGACTCCACTTCTACAACACCTTCATCATTAACTTTACCCACCGGGACAACAAGTCTTCATTCTTCCTTTATTTCAAAATTTGTGGACTCCACTCTAGACTTTACAACATAATATAATTTGTAGAGTGCAGTTTTCCTTACCAACTTAAATCAAGGTATATGCTTACCAATCTCGTCAAAGCTTGCAACCTACCCAATAGTGTATGTAATCATGGTTAAGTTTATCAACAATAATGCTACTCTTATCACATTTTTATATCATATTCTCATACTAATGCAGGATTGGCGGCAAAAGACAGGTAAATTAGGGTCCATTATCTCCAAGTGCAAGGAGAGACTTGAAAACCCTGGATTTGCTATGTTTCTAGTACCACCCTGAAAATCAGAGAACTAGGAACAAAAGCAACAATCTCTCAAGAGAAAGGCACTTAACACAAAGAGAGATGAAACTCCTTTGAAATGGTTCAATTATGTATTCAAAAAGTATGATTACATATTCATATTATAAAGCTGTATATAGCCCCCAGCTTAAGGTCACGAAAATGTAACTGAAAATGGATTCATTGCACCCACAATTATTAGAAATGATAAGATAAACCCTTGATTATGACACCATTACAGAAGTGCTTATTTAATGTTTAGTGCTTGTTTACTTATGTTTATCCCTTGACCCATGAATGCCAAAGTCTACACGTCTACATCATCCTCTCCTAGTGGGAGAAAATTGGCCCTCGAATTTGAATTGTCATCAAAGTCACCATCTGCATGAAAAAGAAACAAATGCTTGACATTGAATAATTCGAAGTACGAATGTGGCTAGGTAACTTCAGACGGCCGGCATTAGGATTGATTTTAGCAACAATTTCACACGGACCAAAATCTTTCTTGCTGACAGCTTGTTGTAGTCATCAGTTGTAAAATGATCTTTGGTCAGGACAGCCCAAACAAATCTCCCACATTGAACTCGACATGACGTCGTTTATTGTCTGCATGTGCCTTGTATTTAAGGGTATACTCTCCTAGCCGAGTTTGAGTTAGTTTGTGCTCCTGTTGCATATCCTCAATAAAATCCTGAGCTTTTCCATGAATTCTAGTCTTGCTTAGAACCGAAAGTAAATCAAGTGGGGCTCTAGGAACCATGCCATAAACAATAAGGAATGG